AATAGGAAAATAGGTAACTGGTGCCCTTAAACACATTGATACATGTACTAAAAATAACTACTTTTTACGTTTATTTTAAGTTAAAAAAAATCGATCAATCACAATACAAACATTCATGTTATTTCCCTTGCTGTTTGTTTTTTAGATGAATTCAAAACCTTTCCTACTCAAAATGACGAGGCGGAAGATCCAGGTCGCAAGTGATACTGGACGCTGAGTGCGGAGGATACAGGACGGACCAGGGCATTGAACATAACATCATAATTCAAATTCATAATCCTTATTATTCATGTTTGCTTCTCCATTCTTTAAATTCAAATCAAGTCGCGATGTTGAAAAATACAGACCGTTCCCAGGATGCTCTGTTCGCGGAGGCCCCCTTCAGTGGCGAAGGCATGTTTTTTTTTCAAAGTAACTACCCCATGACGGATTATCTGAACAATAGCCGGAACACTCTTAAAGCCATTGAAGGGGGCGTCCTTGAGAGACGCATGCACCTGTATAAACTTCCAAATTTACCTTTATTTCCAAAAATTTACATCATTTAGCTATACATCATAGTATAACACTTTTGTGTAACACTTTTTAAGTATAACACTTTTGTTCCAAGACATTAAATGTATATAATTTATTTGCAGTGCCTGTGTATTAAATCCATTATTGTATGGATAGTAATATTTTTTTTGGTAAATACTAACTTGTATTTTGTGCTGTACATGTAAAATACTGATACAATAAGTGCGATACATTCTAATTATATAGAAATTGAGTCAAATAAGATAAATCGACGGCTAGCATTCAGCATCACGTGTTTTTTTTTCCAAATTTCTGCCCATCAATATTCATTGCTCACACGAAACTTCGATTGGGCGTATTCATTAGAATGTATAGTAATTAAACTTTCTCACCCGATTGGTGTTATTTTGTAGTACACAATAGACTCGGTATATAGATCGTGTTGTACATAATTTATTTGTATTTATATACATGTATCCAAAACGGTACTAGTCCCGCCCTCAATTCCTTTTTGTTCTGCAACCCAGTCACCTGCCATATCATAATGAGGAATAACTCCCATCTTTGACTTTTCACGTTACGTACATCATGTTAAAGCGCAAATCACTGGCTCTCCAATGATACCCAATTAATTTATATCAGGCTAGCTTAATTTAATCCAAAGATATGCCACAGGAACCTCAACAGTGTCCCGCCGAACTTCGCCGACCTCATTTCGAGAAAGACGGCTTTGAAAAAAGAAATACGCATTGCGCCGCCAATGGCAGTGGTGAACGTTCTTCAGTTTCCAAATTTTGGGAGTATTTTTTTTCAACAAAAATGCATAGTGTGAATCTTGAATACCTTGGCTACTCAAAAATAAGAAACAAAAACATATTTATTTTGACATGATTTGCAGTGTTGGAGTCAAGACATCAAAGTCCGAGACCGAGACCGAGACCAAGACCTCATAGTCCGAGACCGAGACCAAGACCGAGACTTCCCCATCCGAGACCGAGACCGAGACCGAGACCGAGACCGAGACCGAGACCTCCTTTAAAAAAACTGCTGCTATGTGCACCAGGTGTAAAAAAACTGGTGATGGTATGCTGCTGACTGTCTGCCTGAGTGTTGTTTTGTATGTATTCATTGTATCTGCAAATGAGTCGATTAAGAAAGCTATAGTTATTTGCAGTGAGGAAAATCATATTAACATGAAACATATTAAATTGAAATAATTTTCTGGAGAAATATAAATAAAAACAAAAAATTACTTGTTTCCAAAAATGTCCCCATTATCCATTCAAATTAACCAGTCGATATGAAAACAATTTATAGGCAAACTCGGGTGGACAATTCAAGACTCAATCCAAGATGGCGGCGCCCGTGTTCCGTGAAAACTTTGAGGACCGAAAAAAAAAACGCACTCAGCTTCAATCCTACTCAAGTTAAAGCTTGCTGATAATTTGATTTCTTTTTAACATGAAAATAACTATTATTCGTCGCAGCAATTATACTTTGTTTTATCAACTTCAACATAACTGAACTGGTAAATTGTAAAACAACACGTAAGCAAAAAGTTCAACATGGCGAACTATTGGCCCTCAGCCCAGCAACACACGGTGACATACCTCATCTTGGCCCTACATCTGTAAGGTTTTCCCTTGTTTAACGTTAATTCAAATTGACGGAGATGTTGGTTCAATTATTTTGAGAATAATATTAATAGGCATAATAAGTGGTTTAAATAAGACGGTATACGTACTTTATTTCGTGGACACGGCTTACGTGCCTGATGAAGGCCGAACTTGTCCCTGCCTGGTTGGTACAGTGGCGTAGCACGGTCATTTTTATTGGGGGGGGGGGAATTTTAGTAAACTGCTGGTACCATCTATCAATGGAAGCGCTGTTCAAAACCGACGATTATGCATACAGACGGCCAATATATGGTGCTTTTCGCGCCGATATATGTGCGAAAATCAGAAAAAGGCACCCAAAACGGCAGATGCCACAAAAAAGGGCACCACTTGTTTTTTTTTAAAAAGGGCACTTGTTCAGAAAAAGGGCACTTCTTAAAAAAGGGCACTCTTTACAAATTATTGGGGGGGGGGGGGTAAGCCCGTTGAAAAAAGGGCATTTCAATGGAAAAAGGCAGTCTTTATAAAATATTGGGGGGTAAATACCCCCCCCCCCCCCCCCCTTGCTGGCTACGCCTATATATGTACGCTTCTGACTGAAACAAAATCTGCAGGTAGCCAAGCGTTTTCTTTTTCCTGATGTTTTGTACACTTACTCTTTATGCTCCTTAAAAGCAAATTTTATGATTAACGAGTTGCTTGACATAATTTTCAATTCGACAAGACAGCACTTTATATAAATGATTAAACGTCAACTCAAAATAATTTCTGAAATATTTAACGTTACACCGTTATACTACGAGCGAGAACCTTCCTGCATGGATGTTTACATGCAGTGACAACACACATCCGCCATGCGTGCAGTGTGCAATGTACTGTTCATACAGTCTGGGCCAAGTTCGCGCAAGGACTATAGTTGACCAATGGTTAACTAACGTTTGCCCGAACTCTGTCTAGTCGACAGTGGTTGACTACGCTAGTCGACTATTTGGAACCAGCCTACTGGGGTTGGTTGCTTCGCTGGTAACCAATAGCCGCGCGCATTCATAGCGCTAGCAGAGAGCCAGGATCCAGAAGTTTTGCGATGACAGTGACCAGCGTTTGACTAGAGACGTTCGCACGTTGCTATCAGTGTGCAGGCGTAAGGTACGTCACAAATCAACCACTAGTCGACTAATGGTCTTTGCCCGAACTTGGCCCTAGTTGTCGCCATCAGTCAATGCACGCACGTGACGGACGTCACGACACGCGGTTTGTTAAGGGACTTTGACAAACAGTCCATGCTACTAACTGAGCGGCGATATGCTAGCGATAAGCGTGCTCTCCCTTCGGAAATTCTTTTGACATGCACTATGCGTTTTCATAGATTTGCCTTGGAGCCTAAAGTTCCAGATCAATTGAAACACAAACATTAGGCTATTTGCTCTGGATGAATCATCGAAACCTATCCTACTCGGAATGACTCCGCCCAAACTTTAGCTCACCAGATACTCGACTTTGTACGGAGGAGGCAGAAGGGAACAAGTCATTAGGCCAGCACGAGAAATCAACTACCACAGCATGATATTATTATAACATTCATGTTAGATCCGTTCATTCTTTATACTCGGTATAAATTTCTAATGTTTAAATTGAAGTGTACACTTCCAAAGTTGCCTTGATTAATTTTCAAACTTTGCATTCATATACGTACATCAACTGTTCGCGTATTACGCTCTTCTTTTTTTCTTCTTTTTTTTACATGTACATGTGCAAGTATTATGACATTTAATTACACTATTAAACTAGTGTAAACTTACTTTTATTGGTGCTGAATACCGGAATAATGATACATTAGTATGCCCCCATGAAAAAAAAATATCGCTAATCTTCCTACAAATCAAAGAGTAGCCTAAGTGACGCGCTTATAATTTTATACTCCGTAACAAATATTGCGCCTAAGTTATCAGAATGTAGTAGGCCTACATTAAAATTCATCACACCTGATTCGTTCTATTATGTAGTATATAAATTAATAGCAAACACATAAGGAATGCTTGTTAATGCAATGGTATAAAAAATAATTTCATGAGGTGACAGATGGAGCGTTCCAATCCTCGAGGCGAGGCCGTGTGGAATGGAACATTCCATCTGTCACCTCATGAAATTAGTCTTTCCATTGCACGAATGTGAACAAAAATAATTATTAGTTTTGTACAACACCTGAATAACTCCTCGTCATCTGATTGGTTAGAGCCACCAAAAGTGTGACCGTGCAACGGAAGTTCCATTTACCGTGCAATTGAACTTCTATTTACCGTGCAATGTAACTTCTATTTACCGTACAATGTAACTTCCATTTACCGTGCAATGGAACTCCCATTTACCGTGGAATATATGGAACTTCAGCGGCCGCGCTGTGAGTTGGGACATATAGAGATCAGTGGTTGGGACGACAAGTGGCACGTGATCAACCAATCAATCAACACGTGATCAACTACTCACCAATCAGGTGACGTGGATTCATTCAGGCGTTGTATAAAATACTTAATAGATCATATTTTTTGGTAACTAAGTTGCTTTAATAGTTGATTATCCATGTACATGACAGTTAAATTTTAATACATAAAGTTAAATCTGCCCTTCACCGACGCTATATATTATTTTAATAATAATTACTAAAAAAAACACAAATATACAAGCAAGTAGTCACTGACCATAATGCGCATGCGTCAGCTGGTATCGGAATGGGCCTCCAATTTTACCGTTCAAAAAGCCACGAATCGGAAATAAAAGGTAAAACTTATTTGATTAAGAAATAGGATTTTTGATAGCACCCGATAAAGAAAAAAATACATATTTTAATTTATTTAAAGGATTTTTTTTGGCGGGGGGGGGGGGGGTTAAATTGTTGGAGTTTAGCAGTTTAGCAGTTTTAGCAGTTGGATATATTTCACGCACGCGTATTGTGGTAAGTAATGGTACTTGGCTGCAGAAGCAGATTTGCAAAGCTGCCTATTTTGTAAAAAATCGCCAAATAATTCGATTAAAATCGTGAAATGTTGAATTAACTATGTCATAAATTCAATGGTCGAGCCTATTTTTTAATGCATTTCCTTTGGCGGCCAAAACAGACCAGCAGCCACATAAATTTGGACTATAGTTCCGCGTTAACAATTTTAGTGTTTGTACACATTGGCGCCATTTTGTATGGGCTGTCGCAAGCGCATATATTGAATTCGTGGTTGGCAACATTTTTTCTAGAAAAGTCATCAAAACGCCTCAATACGTAGGAAAAGGGCATGTTTAGGAATATTTTGTAGCTTTGGTGACAATTTTGTATTTTAAACATTCACATAATATTTTGGTAATTTTTAATAACTAGCCAACCACGCGTAGATTGATACTGAGGCTCCAATTCAAGAAACATCAGTTTGGTTTCCTAAGCCATACACGGTGTTTACAAGCTCTGTTCTTGCCTAGGCACCAGGCGGAGGTTGATGCCTTTCTCTGGGGTCATGAGTCCGCGCGTTCCACGAGTTGGGGGATTCTGATTGGACAAAAGAAGAAGAAAAATAAATTAGAACAATCTGTTTTGAACCCTTAATTTGAAACTATAGGGGCGAGATGTTTTAGAGGGAAATTCAATTAGTTGAATAGATCGAGTTTTTACTCGAGTTTCCCATGGTTTCCAATAGTTTAACTCTGGAAATTATAGATGCATATTTAGCTCTTAATGTACTGAATGTGACGCAAGAATACATCATGAACTTAGGACGCACATTCCAAACTTAGTGGTGTTTAAAAGTCTTAAGTCTACTCAATTCCATTCAATTCAATTCAGAGTCTCATTAATTCCCGTACAAACTAAGAAATAAATGAATAATGGCAGAGGCGTAAATCCTAGGATGGGGGGTGGTGGTGGAGGTATATCCCCTCTCCTTTTGACTAGGGGTGGTGGGCTATTGAATCATCCGTCACGTTTTCGTGATGAGAACAAAAATACGGATGTCGATGTATTTTTAGAACATCCCAACAACCAAACTGTATTCAACAGCACTGAAGAGTGGGGAAACAAAGTACAGAATCTTTTCGAATGCGCCGTTTAGATGTTAAGTGGGAGTATGAATATTGATTTACATCTATATCCTTAAGTGCGCCCCCTAGAGTGATGTGGTGCCCCCACCCACCCGACAGTCTGACAGATCTTCCTACCTCAGTCTTCGCGCAGATTTCCAGGCGGAATTTCTGAAATGTGCGAGTCAGCATGACTATCATCTCGACCATAGCGAAGCGGTAACCGATGCACATCCTCGGGCCCTGGCCGAAGGCGAGCCAGGTCATTGGGTCCATCTTGGCCTTGTTCTCGGCGGAAAACCTGCCCCATGTTAAACAAAAGGGTGACAGGAAGAGACATTATGTACAGGGGTAATGATCAATTTTTGAACAGGGGTAATTATTACACTGAGTACTTTTTATATAAAGGAGAGATTACGATGCATACTAAATTAGATTTTATTATAATTATTGTAAGACTGGCGGTATTCCTTTTAGACCATCAACTTAAGGAAAACAGCATGTGCCCCTATCCCCCCCACCCCTTTGCAGCTAACACCCCCCCCCCCCTCATTGAGCCAAACCTTGATCCGCACTGCCTTGGTTGACTTTGAAGGACATGTACTTTTAACAAACGCCTTAATAGAAACTTCTGTAACAGTGACATATTCATTCGAAAATGGGTGACAGTGTTAGCCACAAACTTTTCGTTCATCCCAAAAGCTATAAAAAAAAACACTATCCAATCGCCTGAAACAAAACAAGTAAAACATCTGTTCAAATAGCATTGAAAGGCTGCAAATATCACACCGTAGAGCCTTGCTCCTATCTTTGAAAATCGACGTGAAAACTGTATCATGTCATAGTCTAAGCCCGATGACATTTATCGACGTACGCATATTTCAGCTTCTGACCCCATTGGATCAGCGAATTTTTGTTCTGTACCTTGTAAACATAATGTAACAAGCTCGAACGGATTTCGGAAGCTGCGGCCGTGCAGGCCAACGAATGCGGGTCATGCATGACAGCATGAATCATGTGATTGTGCCATTTAATTTCTGGAAAGAGTAGTGTTTTGAGTAAAAAAAAATATAAAAAAAAAATCAGTTTTTTTGACCCCAGTGACCCCAAGATGACCTTTGACCCCAGTTTGGTCATGTGACATGTTGGGGCTGGGCTACTGATACTTTTGACACAAAGGTTGGTTGAAATCGGTCAAAATAATTATGTAGGAGCGATAGACAATGTCAGCGCTCGTTACTAACAGACTAACGTAGAGACTTGATGTTTAATTGAGCTGCTATCTGGCAGCTAAATGGTCACATATTTCGCATCTATGCCCTTTTTTCCCACGATGTTTCATATAGATTTCTATATAGATTCGGCACTATTTTTTGTGCAACATAGTAATGAATTTTCTTTTTAAATCTGCAGTAAGTTTCCAATTGTTGAAGTCTAGTTCCTCACCTCTCCGGGTCGAAGGTGAACGGGTCCTTCCAGTAGTCGGGATCAGTTTGGATGGCGTAGACGCCAATCTCGACCAGGGTGCCCTTGGGAATTTTGATACCTTTCACAACGCAGTCCTCTGAACAAACTCGATCGAGACTATAAGCAAAAAAAAAGACATTGTTGCAGCATATAAACTTGCAACATTTACATTTCTTATTGACTATGGGGACTACAAAAACATGCAAGAATGTCTTCTTTTCCCCAGTTCGTTTCCAGAATCATGCACAATAATGTGGCGTTTCTGTCCTTGAATATGTTGTCTTTATGTGTACTCACAAATTATTTCCTTTTATAAGACGAGATTTTGGAGGAATTTTACGAGAATTTTTAATATCAGAAAAGCTTCCGTTCAAATCTTTGATATTTGTTGGTTTGTTTGTGTCTGCCATTTTTTGTGTGGAACTTGAGAAAACGTCCAACAAAACGGTGATTATCAAAGAAACCACAATGGGAAATAGATGGGTCGTTTTTTTAAAATTAAGCACAGGGTTAGCAAAGATATTGAAAAGCGAGATTTGATCCTGTGCTTTCCAAAACGTGGCACTTAACTACATGCTCTACATGGCGGTGCAAAAAGAAGAAAACCAAATTTTGACAGCAGTTTTCACCTACTTGCTGAGCACATTTCAAAAATTAAATTAAATGGTATTAAAATATTGATCTTTAAACATAAGTGACGAAAAAATTATTGCAAATGCATCTTTTGTCTCTGAGATATGGTAGTTTAAAAATGTCATGTGTCAAACCTGTTTGTCCACGGACGGCTTTATTCCATCCGCTTGACTGAGCTCCGGAGCTTGATTTGAAAACAAAAAACCTCTAAACTAGACTTACACACGTGGACAACAGTGATTTTGGTGACTTCAAAATGTAGCTAATAACATTACCCAAAGGTCTATAGAAATGACGTCATCATAAGACGATTAGATTCAAAATTATGACCCCTTCAAAGAGGGTGGACTTTCTTTCTGTTGCGGTGTTAAGTTACTCACGAGGCGGCTGTGGGATACAATCTGAGCGACTCCCGGATCACCATATCCATGTAGGTCATTTTGTTGACCTTCTCCTGTGTGACATCGTCCCCTCCGCCCATAACATCATCGATCTCTTGAATCAGTTTCTCTTGTACTTCCGGGTGCATAGCCAGCATGAAGAATATGAAAGACAAGGTGCCGGGACTCGTCTCCGTGTTACCCGCGAAGACACTCATACTCTGTCAAGCAAGAACAACACAATATATAACTACGTTTTTAGAAACTCAACTACATTTTTGCAGGGTGCCATTATTGTGACAAGGACTGCACGTATAAGCTCAGTGTATGTTTGAGATATTTTGATAAATTAACTTAAAATTAGTCGATATATTCTGCAACGGAACGGAGTATCATTTTTTTTTTCGAAATACACTGTAAAAAAGGTTGGATAAAACAATGTTGGGCAATGTAATTCACCCAGAATTGGTATGAAATTATCTCATATTGGGTTGAATTGGGTAAAAACTGTCAAACTATTGGGAATAATCTGCCCAAGAGTGTTGGCAGTTGATAATTCGACCAGTGTTGGTCGAATTATCAACCCATTTTGCCCAACTTTTTTACAGTGTAGTCAGGCAGATTGGTGCACAATATATTGGAATTGTTCATTTGATGATAAAGCATGACATTTGGCACACAGTCAGAGTATGTCATGGAAAAAATTACTTGGCTATAAGGCCATCGGAGATTCGCCCCTTGAAAAAAAATCATAGATTTACATGCAATGGCCGACATTTTAACAATTTGAAAATGTCTTGTTATCCTATGATATTTTTTTCAAAGGACAAATCTGCGATGGTCCTATAGCCAAATACCTTTCCCATGTAATACTCTATGTGCCAAATGCCATGCCTTTATCATCAAACTGAATAATCTTATCACCAATCTGCTGTACTAAAATGGGTGATGGACGTCAGGACTGTGCAGGGCGAGTAAAAAAAAAGGAACCCAAACAGTACCCTTTTTTTGTGAAGAATGTCTGCATGTAGCGCTTTCCAAATCTAGGATATGAAAGCCCATTAATAAGCTTTATTTTATTGAAAGAATCATGATTCCAATCACTCATGTACTCTTCCAGTTATGGAATTTTGAAGACAAAACACCGTTTTTCAACCTTGTCCACCGATAAACATTTAAGGTACGTGATATTTCAGTAAAAATGAAACCATGTTATATGCTGAAATGATATTAGAATAATTCCATAAGTCTCCGGGGTAGCCAAGTAAAAGGAAGGCTAGGCAAAACTATAAACTCTTGGCATTATAAAACATTTTTATTTTAACATTGGAAGAAGAAGGTTCTTAAATAAATGTTATGATATGAAGTGTCAATTATGATGTGTTTTTTGATACGTGAATAGTTTTCGATATCACTGGCCTTTGATGTGATCCGTGGACAAGCTTAAAAAAAAACGGTGTTTGTGTTCAAAATTCCATAACTGGAAAAGTACACGGGCGATTTGAATATTTCTTTCACTAATAGACCACTTATTAGTTTGCCTTTCATATCCTAGATCTGGAAAGCGCTACATGCATAACTTCTTTAAATAATAGGGGCATCATTTGGGTTTCGTTTTTTGATACACCCTGTGTGTAAGAGTGGTCAACTTTGGAGATTTATGGCCGCAATATTCCACTTCGCCCTGACCCCCACTCCAACCCCCAACCCCCGATTAAAAAGGAAACAAATCGGGTACATGTATTTATATAGCTTTCATTCTGTATCTTGAATCAACACCTTGGAGAACTGTAAGTATTTTTTCGTGCATAATAGAAGTGAGGATGTTAACATCACTTATTAATGTCTCTGACAACATATCTACTGGCCTGCAACCTCTGATGTCGTAATCTACTTTCATTTTTTTTAACTTCTTTAAAAGTCGGAATTTCGTATGTACTTTTCCTTCTGAAAATTCGACTTCGATTTTATATTCAACGAACCATTGCGAAAATCTCCTTGTCTGTAAGAGCGCGTTTCTGTAGCTGGCGGCCGTTGATGGTGGTGGCACTCGAGTTGAGTTCCTCATTGGCGTTCATCATCAGCTGAAGAAAATCCATGTATTTCTAGACAAAAAGGACGATGAAATAATAATAGAGCAAATTAAAGAAGGATAATTGAAACACTATGGATTTTTGTTAGGAAGCGTTCGTATCATCTCATTAATATGTAAAGTGTATATTATTTGCCCGATAGTGTTTCCGACGTCTATGAAATTTTGTATTGGATTAAAATTGGTGTACTAGGGCAAAATTCCCCTACCTTGGGAGTTTTACCCGCTACCCCGGTCCATTACACTCGAAAAACTCCTGGGATGGCCCGGAATCTAAATCAAAATCTGCTCAGTCCTTTTCAGGGTCAAACATGACACTTTTATGGTTCAAATATTACCTAGAAATAAGTCATTTGTGATGTAATTTCAGGCAGAAACCTCAAGTTACAATTATTGCAGCACCAGTATTTTGGATATTTTTGCAATCATTGTATATTTCCTCAATTACTTCTGTTCTGTTTATTTATTAATTAATTTATTTAATATTATTATTATTATTTTAAGAGTTTTGCTTGGCTCATTTGTCCATCTATTTGTTGACATATCCACGTTCCCCAGTTATTTTCCAGCATCCCTCTTTCCTGTGAGGGATGTAACACCACCTCCCATTATCCGCCCATTTGACAGTCGTGTTTCCATTCCCCCCCCCCCTTCCCCACCCACCCCGGACTCGCCCTTCTTTTTGACCGCGTCATCATTACCGAACTATTGGGATCGGCCCTGCGGCTGTCCATGGTGCCCTTGATAAGCTGAGTGAAGTAATCCACAGACTCATGAGGATGAATGGAGCAGCCTAGGTACTTGAAGATGGGTTCCAACTGCGGAAACAGCACTGCAAGGTATACGGACAAAATCGGTTGGTTAAACTTTCTGTGATAACCTGATTGTTTACTCCTTATTCATTGCTGTTTAGTGACACGCCATTTGGCAGTTGTAGAGACTGGTCTCCCCCAGCCTCAAGCTACGAATCTGTAGCCTTCGATCAAGTTTCGAGTTCTTAGAATGTCCAATGCATATTTATGGTTGCAGACCAAAAAGTCACCAAATAGGCGCACAATTTGCGTACGTCAACCAACGACTGTTGCATGCCGTCACTTTCTCGTTTAGTAGAGAATTGTCGGCCACAGTCTTGGAGCTAACAAAAAAATAGAGTCCCAGCCCTGAACCGGGCTTAAGCTTGTCTTTTGAGACGTTTAAGTCGTTTTGGTTTCAAACTGGCGATGGACCTGAGGGATGATCCTGTTGAAGGACTCGGGAAAATTACTAAATGAAACAGGATTACCCCGTAAACAGTGGCGTAGCCACCGGGGGGGGGGGGCCTTGGGGAGGGGCGACCGCCCCCATGAAACCTTGTCGCCCCCCCCCCCAGTCGCCCCCCCCCCCCACCGAGATTTTGAGTTTCTAAAAAAATTATCATTGATCTACATGACGCCATGGGCGTCAATCCTGGGGGGGACAGGGGGACTGGTCCCCCCCCCCCACACTTTTTGAACTCGTGTCTCATTTACAGGGCCCTATTATGTACTACAATGTATCTTTTGCTTAGAAAATATTGGTTAAAGTGGTCAGAAATTGCCTCAGATAGCACCACAGAGCATTTAGAATCCAAATTTTTTCTGGGCCCTTAAGCGGGCCCCGAACCCCACGCCTATAGCTCAGAATTCTGGTTGCTGATTCAATGACTCCAACCTCGAAAAGAATGTTCAAAAATTTTCTTATGCCTTTAGCTGAGAAAACCTCGAAAATCATGTTTAAATTATTATCTTTTGTGCTGAGATAATTATTGGTTAAAGTGGTAAGAAATTGCCTCAGATCACACCACAGAGCATCGAGAATCCAATTTTTTTCGGGGCCCTTAAGCGTGCCCCGAACCCCACGCCTATAGCTCAGAATACCGATAGCTGATTCAATGACTCCAACCTCGAAAACGATGTTCAAATAATTATCTTTTGCTAAGAAAATATTAGTTAAAGCATGGAGGAAAGTGGTAAGAAATTGCTTCAGATCACACCACAGAACATCTAGAATCCAATTTTTTTCGTACGATTGACGCCCCTACATGACGCCCCCCATGAAATGCCCCCCAGCGCCCCCCCCCCCCCCCCCCCCCCACTGAAAAATTCCTGGCTACGCCACTGCCCGTAAAACGGTTATGGTATTTAGTCCTTATACTGTACGCGTACGCTGAGCGTGTCTACCATGCTTTATTATAACCACCTTCCCCTCATAAGAAAACCCAGGAAAATAGCCCTCATCGTTATAGAACTTACTGATAACAAACCAAGGCAGGTAGAAGGTCTTAAACCTAATCCACATGGCATTGGCTTGGTTCATCAGGACAGTCATGTCTTCTTGTGAGGTTGCTCTGAGCGCGAAGAAGCAGTACGATCCTACGTCGATGCCATACTCGCACATGTACCTGTCACCAAACAAAGAAATGACTAATTATGACATTCGAGGGCTGAGGTTGTTTTCTTTTTAAATCAACTCTTGACCTATTCTGAACACAGACTCTGTATTACTCTCAATTGTAAGGCATGTGTGAGGGGTGCAGACCAGTAAACAGGCCCAAAATTGCCTGTTACGCTGGCCAAATCACGATTTGTATGCCCTCAAATGGTATGCCATTAGAGGATTTTGCTGGCCATGAAATTGAGGGTTTTTAACATATGGGTGGAAGCCGTTCACAGGACTGCGAGCTCGTACTGTTGTGAAATTTGGATGAAATCAGGCCCTAAAATGGCTTTATGGAGCGCAGGCATCATTTTTTTTCAAAATGGCGATAGGCATGCAGGATTACTTTTACGGGAGATTATCTTGGGATGGAATTTCCTCCCAAAAGTCATTGGTTAACCTCCCAAAAATGGAACAGAAATGAAAGATGTTGAAATAAGCTTTGATTTGATGGGTGTTTTAAAAACACCTTGAGGAGTTGTGAGTCTTTCAAATATGTTTGGAAGTGCGCGTTGTTATTACCGAGGTGGAGTCAATGTATTGGTCTGCACCCTCCATAGGCTGAAGGGATCTAATTCCGTTTCGCAAAATCTTGTGACGCAAGCGCAGGTCAAGGGAGGTATGGGTCTTGTGCGAATGGGTCATGCTGACAAAAATCGTCCAACATGAGAGCGCAAAGCGATCGGGCCCACGTACCTGCGCCCCTGCATAGGGCAGCGGGTTTTGTGAATGTTACTGTTGGCATTGTGAAGTTGAAGTGTGAACCACTAAGTCGAACTATTGTCATGTCAACGCGAGCGTAAAACAATAACGGTCGTACCGTTCCACACTTGTTGTTTCTCTTTATTTACACAAATAATAGTGATTGTGTATAGTTCAGGACATTTTAACATAATCGCCAAAATTATTGTACAATGGTGACAAAGGTGACATGGAAAAACTGTGCAATGAAAATGAAATTTAGCGCTCACAGGTTCGTTTCACGCCATTTTTTTTCGATAGTTGGTCCCCTCTGCAGTCTGCACTATGCTATGGAAATTGCTATTGATAACCAGCTATAAATCGTTGCGCGACCAGCCACGGTAGGCTGGTTCCAAATAGTCGACTAGCGTAGTCAATCATCGTCGGTTATATACAGAGTTCGGGCTAACTTTAGTTTACTATAGTTAACCATAGGTCAACAATAGTTCTGCGCGAACTTGTCCTAAGCTAGCTATAGCATAACGCAATCCTGTGTGCTTGCTGCCACGAAGCATCTCCCCGTACAAAGACTTTGGTGAAGTTGCCCGACCTCACAGGCAATGTTTGGCATGAGGTCAGGTGTCCTGCAGTCTAGTGACATCAATGCGTATACGCATGATGAGATAAGATATAAGATGTGGAAACGTTGGCTTCAATGTAAGCAAAACTCTGGAATAGAGATTGTTTCTGTCTTCTTATAATAACCGTAACTTGATTGAATTTAGGGGTACAAAGAAAAGGAGTGACGCTCTTCTCTGAAGTTTGGCTTACTTGTGGATATCCAAGACGCCCTCCGTCTTCTTTTCGTTCTCTTTAAGATTCTTAACAGTCTCGTCAGCACACTCGGTCACCATTGGCAACATCTGAGGATGAAAGTAAACACGGCATTCATTTGAAAAGTTACTACAAACAGTCTGTCTTGAGATCAGAAGAAGATATCAAATACCAAGTACCCATGAGAAAAATCTCCGGCGCTTGCGTCATTGGTGATCCAAGATTGTGGACGGCTACTAAAGCCAGACCAGTTCAATTCAATTCAGTTCAATTCAGGATGCGTTCGAGTAGCTCACCCGCATCGACTCGGGTAAAGGCACTGGTCGGGTTAGCCACGTACTACAGCCGGGCTAATCGAACGCTCAACTTGCCGCGGGTCATCACGATCCTCACGTGACACCCGTAGCCGTGGCCTGTTTTCCGTCAATTGCAAACTCAAAAACGGTGGGCTGGAATTATAGCCTCAAAAGTCGCAATGAACTCAATAAATGATAACCGTTATAGACTTCAAATATAGTTTATTTTAAGTCCACTTGAGCCTGCGCTGTCCGGCCACCATAAGTTCTCCGCTTCTTGGACGAAAACACATGCGTGTGAAGTATATCCACCACTGACTCTACGAGAGTGAGCCCCGAGAATGACGTCAGAGCTAATCGAACGGCACGGGGCTGACCGTGTCGACCCGGGTGAGCTACTCGAACGCACACAATATTCAAACTCACATTTATTTCCATACCAAATGAGAAGTTTAAGCAGATAATACATGAATAAGTACATGAAATTGTCGAAAAGGGTGTAAAAAGCGGAAAATATAGGTATGGAGGCATCATAGAAGCCTTGACTTGCATGTAGCGGATTCTGTCTCTCGACTTGTCGAGAGCACGACTGTGTACAGCAAGCCTCGCCCTGAAAAAGTACTATACGCACATAGCAACGAATGTAGCAAACGGATGATTAATTGTGCAATATGCAAATAATATCCATGGAGCGAAGGGAGCTAACACTTGAGATGCGATTATAGAAATAGCTTTTACCGTACCTTCTGCATTTTGTGCTTGGTGAAAACCAACGCGACTGTCTCCCTCATAGCCTTCCATCGGTCTCCCTTCAGGTTCAAAAGGTCAAAGTTCGTCTCTTCCGGACGAAGCGGGAAACCCTGTTTGATAAGAGGAAAGGCAGCAGAACTAATTGAACACAATTCTTGAATAGCCATTCTTGTCCTTTTAGAGTACCTGATGACACCTCGCCTGCAGAAATAATTCTGATATATCCAGAGGGATGGTGTATGTCGTGAAAGGATGCTACAGTCAGTATTTCGGCCTTTTGTACGAATTTTGCTGGAAAAAATCATCTGACCGCGTTGGTTTTGGAAACGCCCCTTTTTCTTGCTTATTTTATGCGGGATAGATCACTCTTAAAATTGTTCAACCAAAACAAATGTGGACAAACACAAGCTGTTTCGGATGTTTGTAGTGACTCTGTGACATGTGATGATGACACGACGACTTCCAGTGTCATCGAAAACACATGTGACGTACATAACATGTGAATATTTCAGCATTCACAAGTAGATACTAACATATATTTAAAAAAAAAACCTTTAATGTGATGTCACATGACGGTGATGACACCATCATGAAGTCACTTCAATTTTCATTTGTAAGATATCCCGGTCTCAGTACCTGCCCACTTACCAAGTTACAACCAAATCGAACCTAAAGCTCTGTAATAGATATAGGCCTTATGAATGCCCCTTTAATGTGACGTCACATGACATCGCTCTTAATATTGTTCAACCCCCCCTCCCTCCAAAAAAAGCTATAAATATGCCAAAAATCCCCTCTTGAAGGTTTATTCCCCTATATGCGGAAGTGCTCTAGTCACAAGCGTGGAGTTGCTGGTATGTGGTGGTTGTAGTATTGTCAACCTCTAAAAGAGATGTGCTGGTCAATGTAAAACACGTCTCGGGGTGCTTCTGGTATTTTGTTCGGCGAGATATTTTCTTACCATCCTTGAGTAAACACGTAAGAGCCATCATCAAGGCATAAAATGTATATAATTTGAAGTCCGAAAACAGTACTTCAATAGATAGCATCGAATGGGCGTGGCTCGTAAAATAGATAGGAAAGGTGCCCAACTTATTCAAAAGTTCAGTCCGACTTCCTTAATTGGGTCTGTAATTTTTTTTTACTGACAGGTGCATTCAAAACCTTTTCGAAACACCGTCACCTTACATGTATATGATAACAAATGAGATTTGATGACTACAGATTTTGTTGAATGTACCAGAACGTCACAACTGACTTTGATATTTTACATCAATGATAACACGTCAATGAGTTTTCTGTAAAAACAAATCCTTATTGTAACAGTAAAGTCGTTGTAAACGCGTCGGACGTGAATGTTTTAGTACAGAATCGTATATTTTGCTGGTAGGCAAAATTGCACGATATACAGGCCTACTTCAACCAGCAGCCAAAAGCAACAAGAGGTTGGGGCTTAAACCATCACTGCAACCATGGGCGTCGCCAGGATTTTTTCTATAGGGGGGCAAAGCACATTATTTCCAAAAATCCTTGTACTTTCTCTTGCATATTCTCACTTAATCATTTTTGGAGGGTGGTCGGGGCCAGGGTGTGCCATTTGCCCACCCCATCCCCATTGACACCCCTGCGGATGCCCATGTTGTTAAATGTGCATTAAATTAACAGCAGTATGACTGCACACCTCGTCTTCCCTCCCCCCTTCTTTTTCTCCTTTTGTGTGTGCGTGGCTTTTCTGATGGGGCAAAGGGGAGGGGGCGCCCCCTGTCCCATCCTTGCGACGCCCATGACTACAACGGCCAAAAATGGGGCATGTGAGAAAAGCCAGGAGAAACCTTACGGCAAATATACAGTTTGCAGTAAAAAAGAAATGGCCTAAATTGCGGCTTTGCCTGAATACTGTAGGCCTATTCCCCTTCCTCTTTCCAAGTTTTCCACAGTCGGTAAATTTCAAGATATGTTCTGATTTCCCGCTACTTTAGCTACTCACGTAGTGACATTGCAACTCTCAAACAGACCGAGTGCCCATGTCAAGACTTTGCACATTGATATCGAAACGAAAAGCCCTACAGATTGGGCGAAAAATTCACACCGCAAGCTTATCGACTGCGTGTCTCAGAACTGTATCAAGCCGGCAAAGAAATTTCAGAAACTGAATTTCGATCCGATGTTTGGAAGAAGTGTTTCCCATTGTACATCATGCATCTCCCACATTGTCTTTCCTTTACAAATCTCACCTGTCGATCTGCGAAGTTGGTGAATTGCTTCACCATGATCTCTCGGACGAAGTCGACATCGGAGCTGATGATGACCTTTCTGGCTCCGCGCGAGATACTGCGGTAACCAACAAAAAGAGAACAGGAATTTAATAGGGCATATTCACGAGTCGGCCATATTAAATTGAAAGCGAGGTAAAATGTTCATTTTTGGAACTTGCGAATAGAAATAAAAGCAATGAAATAAAGTTAATTACCAGTCTGCTCTGATGAATAATTTAAGTTTTGTGATTAAACATATACCCTAATGTTTGAAGCCACATTTAGAAAAATAATGAAAGTGAGGCTTGGATAAATAGTCTTAATAGTCTGGACCCCCCCCCCCCCCCCAAAAGGCTGATATGGTTTGGGATTGGAAACATTTGCCCTTAGGCATTAACATTTTCACAACATGCAGGATTTTACACAGCTCTCACAACACAGCAATAAAATTCATTAAGGCAAGGAACTTGTTGTTAAATTGACAGATGTGCAGTGATGCGTATTAAACTGAAACTACATGAAACTCGTATGGGTTTAGTCCGAGGATAAGGAGTATCTGCATTCACAAACAATTTCAAAATTGACTTCATGGTTTTGTTTATTCAAAAATAGTGCGACTGGCACTTTTTTGTGACATACTGTCGAACTTATTCAGAGCTCAAAGAAGGTGGCATCAGAAGTTTTGTCAGTTGCAGGGATATTTAAACCAATTAACGATTGTATTGTATAACCTTACCCAAATGTCTTGCCGTATTCCTTGGTCCATTTCTGCAAGGCTTTGTAAACTCCCTATAAACAAGTATATAACAATTTAATAGTGGTTGTATACAACAGACATTGCTAAATAGATTTGGAGTTAACTGATATGTTAACAAATCTGACGGCCATGAGTTGTATGCCTGCGTTTGTGCATTCCTTCGAATGAAAATCAACTTGATTTTGGATTTACACTATCTGCGCCAAATTATTCTTTTCTCTTTGTAAAAGTTTGATAGTGGGGCAGATATGTGGAATTTTGGGGAGAATTGTGACTTTGATGATGCAAGGATGACATTTGGCACGCAGTCAGAGCATGCTCTTGACTGTTTTGTCGTCAACAAAATCCTGTGCAATACATAACCTACTATGCGCAGACAGCGTCGGGGCGTTTCTCGATCGCCCCTTTGCGAAACCCTGCGTTTCTTTCTGACCCGCATAAAAAACACTGCTCTGCCTCTTTTGGATTTTACAAGTTCTTTCAAATGAAACTGCTAAATCTTTCATCAACCCTTCGATGAAAAAAATCAATGTTGCGGTAGACAGACTTACGATTTTGAATCCGAACAGGTTGCCGAATATCGGGAGAGGCGTCGGTCCCTTCAGCCCCAGTTTACCGAAGAACGTGAGCTGGTCATACGTCCTCCTGCAAAAGTACAAGACACTTTACACCGGTGTCGGACTGGCGACGGTTCTAGAGTCGCACCGAGCCAGATTATTCCAAGTATATAAAGTAGGCCTACATGAGAAATGCGACATTTGAAAAACAAAATTTGGTTCGGCGTGATGACTCTGCCAGTCTTATCCACCCCACCCCCATCCCCGCCCCCCCCCCACCAAAAGAAGTGAAACTACATGTATCCTCACAAACCACCAAACGCAGGGCGTATACGCGTAACCGACGGAACACATGTTCATGATCGAGAAGCATCAAGAACTCCGAAATACTTTCCCTGATAATGAGAAAGTTTTGAAAGTTTTGCATAATCTCATAATCTGATATATATATATATTTTTTTAAAGCATTGATCGCAAAGAGATTGTTTCCCAATATTTGTTTGAGAGGATGTATAAGGGGGGTCGTCCACATTTTGGTTTGCAAATAATATACCTTCCAGCGTTATTTACAATGTCCTTTTCATCATCAAAGTCATTGATCCTGGTTTCAATATCGGGGAAAGAAAACAATTGTATAACATTTCTGCGAATCAGTATTCTGATATCGCTAGGTAGCTTCTCATTTCCTCTTGACTTCATTTTTAAAGAGAGTGTAGTTTTATATAACAGTTTGTTTCAAATTATTGAGAACAAAAAGTTCACTATAGATTTCACCGGCTATTTTAAAACGTTTATCATCCAAATTCACCGTTTCTAATATTCAACTTCGTCCATCAACATCGATTTAGTGCACTTCCATGGATGACCAAATTTGAAATTGAATAAGACTAAATTGGTTTTGTTAAAGGCGTGTGAAATTTTTATCGGACGAAATTGGATGTTAGAGTTGGTGAATTTGAATATTTTGTTTTAAATAGCCGGGAAAACCTATTTAACCGAAAAATATATACCATTAGGGAGGCATTCCCATAGACTTGTGCACAATTTTTTTCTGACTTTTCTCACCTTAACCCCAATTTTACCTTATCATACCCCAAAAATTTGGGTATTTTTTTCTACTAAATGGACCACGAGCTTCGATCTAGCCTATTTGCGACTCTAAAAAATGTTGGCCCCCTTTTTGCTTTACTATCGTAAATTATGTAATTTGGGAAACATTTTAGCGTTAGAGGTATACCTCTAACGCTAAAATGTCTCCCAAATTACATAATTTACGATAGTATAAAAGGGGGCCGTATCGTAAGTCCGACGCCTCATTAGTCCGAGATTTCAGAAGTTTGAGGCGTCGGATTTCTAGGCATTGAACTTAGGGATTCGGCCTCATAGCTCCGACGCCTCATAGGTCCGACGCCTCATAAGTCCGACAACGGACAAACGATGTTTCGGACTTATGAGACGTCGGACTTGTGAGGCGTCGGGCTCAATATGCGTGGACCCCGCAAAAAGTACAACTCCAACATAGTTAATTTTTCGTTTGAGCCAGACCATTATTGCTATACTACTAAGAGTTTCCTTGTGTGTATAAACTAGGACCAGAAACCCTCGAAATAGTCTTGTGGGTGTGCCTTTAAAATCACCGACATCTTTAAAATTGAAGTACCAACCCCAAGTACTGACTTTGTCCAACTCATGAACCAAAACTGTGGTAGAGACAGCCCTTCGACATTCTTAAAATCAGTCCTTATACATGCTCGTTTAAAAAATACCATTGAAAAAAAAAGGAGCATACTTACCACCCAATATACGCCAGCAGTGCGCTGAGCAAAACGATGGTGATGGTTCCGATCATGTTTACGATGGGACGGAGGCAGATTGATACCTGCCGCTCGCTCGTGTGCCCGCTGATCTGATGTATGAAGAGCCCCGTAACCTCAGTTTTATTATGGACAGCGTGATCTTCGTTTTACGAGTCGGCGTCATGTGCGTGGCGCGCGTACCATACCAGCAAAAGCAATCCCCTCCCATTCGACATGTCGGAGATTTTAAAGGCACACACACAAAACTATTTCGAATGGGACTTTTTTAGCCCTGGCGTGAATGGGAGCAATAACGAATGTCACGTGATGTGAGTTCCACTAATCAAATGACAAGTTATATAACTATATGTCAGTTATATAATAAAAACTTTCACACGGTTGAGTTGCTGGAATGGACCAATGAAATGCCGCTGTTGCCTGATACAACAATGATCCTAACTGTTCAATGGTATTCCCCATTCATTATATAACCGACATACATACAGATCCTTGTCATTTGATTGGTGTAACTCACATCACGTGACATTCGTTATTTCTCCCATTCACGCCGCGGCTCAAAAAGTACTATCCGCCCATGGGGAATGGGAAATACTATTGACCAGTTAGGATCATGACGCGGTTTTTGTGTGCAAATGCCATAAATATAGAATAAAAAGACTAGATCGGCAGCGCGTCCACACGCGCCCATTCACTGTGCGATAAATCCATTGATCTCCATATACAAATCTCCGCCATTTTTGTTGTCTCTCGTGGACGCGCAACAAATTAACGTAAAGTAATGTATCTTTCCTCCAGCATGTGACCAAGCTGAACGCGCCCGAAGCTAGAAATGCGCACCGAGTATTTACGCGATGCGTACACACACGCTTACACGTTGGTGTGCCGCTTTTCATTTCGGCTATGGGATACTCAGTTTATTTTCTGCAAAATAAACCTTTTTTAAGACAACCAAAGCTAAGTAGGCCCTAGTCATAATCATAAGCATTCATGTTCAAGAGATACTGATTGAAATAAACAACAAGAGTAGACTGGTGTTTCAACATTATGAGAACGGTGTTATCTTATCTATGCTCTTGTGTTTTTATTAGCATTGAGGGTCTCAAGTTCAGTAACAGAATAAACTCGCATTGTGCGCGTCGAGGGCGCTGCGTTCGTAACGTCTAGCGGGCAATTTGTATCTTTCCTCCAGCACGTGACCCTCCATGCAAGGCCGCGCGTGTGCACGCGCTGCCGATCTAGTCTTTTTTATTCTATATCTATGGCAAATGCATGCTGGTGTACGTGTGCGCGTTCAGCGTTGCGCGTAGCGTGTATTGTTCCAAAGAGCCAGCACTACAGCTTTGGGCTCAAACATTTTCGTGAAGGGGTGGTTTGGAAGAGAGAAATACATTTTCCTCCAGTTTTGTACTGAAATAAAAGTTCCAATATATCAAATGACAAGGATCTATATGTCAGTTATATAAAATAAATAATTATTGAGTGGCTTTAAATTGTGAAATGGGAGGAAAAAATCTTGACTTTGACTAAAATCTTTACTTTTCCATTTCACTCGGCTTCGCCTCGTGAAATGAAAAAGTCCAGATTTTACCTTGCGATAATATTCCTCCCATTCCACGCTGAGCCACTCAATATTTGTATACTATCACCCCGCGTCTTTGTACGCACGCGTGACGCGCAAACACCAGGAAGGTACTATCACACACCTTTGTCGCAGCCTTAGATTTGTTCCAGTACTGTGTTATCTCTTTACCAACAATGCAAACACATTACGTGCGTATCGTGGAGAACACTGATGAGGACAGTTGCATGTGCCAGTCTATTACGGCATACATCAAAATGGCGTCCGGTGGTGCTCGCTTTGCGATTGTAACCGAGGAGGAACTGGGTGAAATTTTACACAATAAATGATAAATGCAGTATTTTGCGTGAATGTTAAAGTTATTAAATGACACAAAATTAACTTTCAATTCTGTCTGTCTCCTTAAATTAAAATAATGTTTTATCCAAATACTGCACGATCAAAAACATGGTGGAATGGACGAAAGAAATACCGCAGCTGCCTGGTGAATATTTATGAGTTATAGTAAACAAATACAACATGTTTTTGCGGGGAAAACAAATGACCCCTCGGTGTTCGCCTGGGGAGATAGTCCCAATCATCCAACACCTCGGCGTCATTAGTTTTCACTATTTCCCGACAAACAATGTTGTATTTGTATACCAATCACCACAAACTAGTTGTTGGCTAGAATTCTCTTGGAAAAGAAGGGCATATAGTTTTGTCACTCGGAGCATTACGCATGAGCTGAAAGCATTCAAAAAATGAAAGCGCAACACATTTTATTTTAAAAATATTAGGCCTTGAGCGAACTTTTGAAGTGATTCCGGTCATGCCGATTTTTATGCAAACAACGTGGAGGACAAAATATCCAAAAGTGCCCGCAACAATACTGCGGCCTCTCAATGGTACCTGCACAAAAACATGCTCATGCGCTTTCAAGCAAATCTGAAATTGTTGCTGGCATGACTGTTACATGAAATCATCTCGAACTCGGTATGGATTTCCCAATACTTTTATTGGTTGTTTCTCTCCCGTGAGTTAATAGCCTATCCCAATGTTTTAAAATAGTTTAGAATCGGCTATAAAAGGCCGAGGCTGAAGTCATCAAACTATTCAAGTATTGTTGCCTGCAAAAAGTTCCCTTGTTCGTATGCCACTTTCTTCTTAACCTTTGCAGAGTTGTAACGAGTCACTGATTTCTTGTGACTCGAGTCGAGTCGAGTCACTAGGTCAAGAAGGTCGAGTCGAGTCACAGTGTGTAGTCGAGTCGAGTCGAGTTAAGTATCATCGCTCGAGTCAATTCGAGTCACAAATATCTGAACACTATACAATAAATAAACACAAGAGAGAAAGTCATTTGGGCTTTTTTATTTTACATTCCGGCTACTACATGTGGTGACACTACATTTGACTCTCAATGAAAATACAAATGGGGTGCCAGGTGATCGCCCTTTAACTAATAATTATGTTTGTATATGTATACATTATTCGCGAACATTCTAATGTGACGTGAACAAAAACCGGCACCGGCGTAAGTCATTGCAAATATTTTTCGCAAAGTTTTGCTTTTATTTTGGGGACTCGAGTCTTATAAGCCTTTCTTCGAGTCGAGTCATTTCCTCACAGTGACTCGAGTCGAGTCGAGTCATTTGCCCATAGGGACTGGAGTCTGAGTCGAGTCACCAAAGATTGTGACTCGAGTCGGACTCGAGCCGAGTCATTTGTATGGTTGTGCTTCGTAAAATCTTAGGGAGGGTGGGTCGGGCCGGGGTACGCAGGTTGAGCTGCGCAAATTATTTGTGCGCATTTTTGTCTTCAGAAAGCCTCACGAATTCTACCCTTAAACGCTGGCCACACTTTGCAGCCGTGCGGACGCGGTACGTCACGAAACGGATCCGATCCGTATTATTTCAATCTCAATGAAAATGAATTTGGGTTAGTTTATGCAAACTCCTAAGAGAGCTGTCTTGAAGAGGAAATAGTACATTGTGCGATTATGATGGAAAATATAACTTTATTCCAGTCCTTCTCGGAAAAATGAATATTGACGTCTGATGCCAGTGCCAACTTTTTTTTTTTTAGTATGTGCTATTTTCGAGTAGTTCAAAAGGGGTGAAAGTGGCGCCACCAACGTCAAAATAGTCCCCCTTCCCCAAATTATGTGGCCCAAAATTTTGGGAAAGTTAACTTCTACAAAATTAGAAAAAAAATTGCAAGGCCCCCAAGTCAAATCCTGGGTGCACCACTGGCATGTCTGATGCGGCTGAAACAATATCGCTTTTTGTGTCCTCTTTTTCCTGTCGGGTTTAAATTTCATGAAATGGGTGTGGTCAAGGAGCCGTTTAGTATAGGTTTTCCCGGCTATTTTAACACTTGTATCACACAAATTCCCTATAATGATACTTTAATTTCGTCCCCGAACATCGCCAAGCTCGATTCTTCGGCCTCGGGAAATAGGACCCTCTTCTGGTCACTCACAGTCCCTCGAGGCGCATAGACGTGCCCTAGTGACCTCATTGCCAGTCTGTATGTGTACAAAGTACTAGATCATAGATCAGCAGTGCGTACAGACGCGCGTTCTGCCATGGGCGGCGCCATTTTTCAGTGCGTGGGGCAAAAGTTGCGTTACGCGCACCTTTTCCATAGGTTTGTATGGAAAAATGTATTTTTATAAGTAAAAGTAAAAGTAAAAGGAATATTTTTGACCTGTGGTAGTTATTTCTCTAACAAAATCCAAAATGGGTTACCAAGCTGCATCTTCATTTCGAAGTTTGGTCCATTTTATTTCTCATACATGTATTTATTTCCCGTTTTAAAATGCCCGTGCGCGTTGCTTCAAAAACCCTTGCATCCAGTGTTATTTTCTTCATCAACAAACAGAATGATGATCAGATTGAACGTCTTATTTCTGTAGTTGTTGTGCTGTCCTTTAATTTAAATTCAGGGCAGCTTTTGAGTATGGACGTGTAGATAGGACATGGTTAAAAATAAATCTAATTCGTACATACAAATTACTAAACCGTACGTACGAATTACTAAACCGTACGTACGAATTACTAAACCGTACGTACGAATTACTAAACCGTACGTAAGAATTACTAAATCGTACGTACGAAATAATTAGTAATTCGTACGTACGGTTTAGTAATTCGTACGTACGATTTAGTAATTCGTACGTACGGTTTAGTCATTCCAGTGGCGTAGCCAGGAATTTTCCAGTGGGGGGGGGGGGGGGCCGCCGGGGGGGGGGGGCCTGGAACATTTCAGGTGGGGGGGCGTCATGTAGATCAATGATAATTTGTTTAGAAACTCAAAATCTCATGGGGGGCGACTTGGGGGGGGGGGGGACAAGGTTTCATGGGGGGGGGGGCTGTCGCAGTGGCGTGGCCACAGGGGGGGGGGGGCGTGGGGGTGACAGCCCCCCCATGAAACCTTGTCGCCCACCAGTCGCCCCCACTGAGATTTTGAGTTTCTAAAAAAATTATCATTGATTTATATGACACCCCCCCCATGAAATGTTCCAGCCCACCAGCGCCGCCCCCCCCCCCCCCCCCCCACTGAAAAATTCCTGGCTACGCCACTGCCCCCACGCCCCCCCCCCCCCCCCTCCCGTGGCTACGCCACTGAGTAGATTCGTACGTGCGATTTATTAATTCGTACGTACGGTTTGGTAATTCGTACGTACGAATTAGTATTTCGTACGTACGGTTTTGTAATTCGTACGTACGAATTAGTAATTCGTGCGTACGAATTAGTATTTCGTACGTACGGTTTAGTAATTCGTACGTACAAATTATTTTATCAGATAAGCTGATATTTATTTGGAGATTTAACGCGCACCACCATTTTGAAACGGACAATAATTACGAGGGGAAATGGAGCAAACTTCGAGGTGACTACCAAGCTTGAAAATGCATTTTGAATTTTGTTGGAGACATAATAACTACTGGTAAAAAAATTACTTTACGGACATAAAAATGCAAGTTTGTGCACAAACCTACGGGAATGTAGGTGCGCGTAACGCACGTTTTGCCCCACGCGAACATGCGCGTAGAGCGTCCATGCGGGAACGGGAAAATGTGTGCACACTCTATTATATATGGCGCGTATGCACAGGCTGCGCTGTCGATCTAGTCTAACGTGTCTCAGACGCTGGTTTCAGGCCCAATTTAAAACAGGACTCAGCAACTTTTGATTTGAAATAGAGATCCTAGAATGTTGTTTTTCTCGAAAAATGCAGCTGAAGCTAAGGCCGTGTCCGAAACGGGCTTCCAGAGCTACGGCTACGTCTATTGTCAGCGCGTCTCCGCGTATTTCTAATGGAGCGAAGACCTAGACCTAGCTCTAGACAACAGATTCGGATGCAGCCTAAGCTGAAACTTCAGACAGACTGGTTGTTCAGTATCCTTCTTCAGATATTGAGCATTTTTTTTTTATTCAAACGAACAAAATGCACATCACAAATGATGGACTATACCTTTAAGCATGCATAGCGCCCTCTTGCAATGTTATCATAAGGTGGTCACGTCTTGAACCGAGACTACAGCCGTTCCATTAGACAGTACAGTTAGGCCAGATTTTCGCTGGTATTCTTTATGGTTACCATCTAATGTTTATGTACACTCTTTTTTCATTCATCAAGATTTTTTTTTTACTGATTTTATCGTATTTTAAAAACATATAAAATAAATCAAAAGTTTAGATTAAAAAAGTCAAATATGCGGAAAGGTAGCCCTTTTTGAAAATTGGAATGAATTTTGTTTTTTATTTAAATTATCAGTTTGAGTGTATTTTCTGCAAAATATAAATAAATAATGAATGACATCATCTTCAGCTAGCTGCTTGCGAGAGTCGATTAGCATTGCACTTGAAATCACACTCAGTTACAAAAACCCGAAAAGTAAGTAATGTAGGCCCTCCCTAGTTTTATATTCTGTAAAGTCTAAGATTGAAATGTGACCAAACCGAAGAAAACAAAGACACCTGTTTTCCTGGATTGTAAATGAAAAGAGTGTTCTGGCTGTGGAAAAAGGTATGCATGATCATTCATTGCATGATTTATCGAACATGATCAGATGATTGTTCCCCCTCCCCCTCCCCCCTCCCCCTCCCCCCTCTCCCTCCCCCTCCCCCCTCCCCTAGTCCTAGCTTGAGTAACTCCAGCTCTAATGCTTATCGCATTAGAGCTGGAGTCACAATAGCCCCATAAATGTTGCCAATTTACAGGACTAGTACAGGCCACACTACTTCCACCATCATTCGATTCATTGTCAATGTCATTGACCATTAGCTGGAGTTACCCAGCCCTGAGTTTTATCATTGGGTTGTCATCTAGGGCTGGAGCGTATTTTTCTCGTAACTTGTAGTATATTCAAAAAAATTTGGAAAATGTTCAATTTTGTCCCCGTTACACACTAATTGCAACTGCAACTCACCCCAAACTTGCCTGGAATAACCATTACACAGGTCCTTGAAGTAAAAAACAATCCACGATGAAGATTCAGCCTACAATTGCAGTGAAAACAGGAGGAATAACCGCTAACTTGACAACCTTGCTGGATTGGCCAGGACCGCAATTGGTTTGTGCACAAAAAAAATTGTGTACAATGAATGGCGCATGACGTCACGCCGGTCATACTAAACAGCGTCAACACAGCGTCAACACACTCCAAAGCGTCAACACAGCGTCAACACAGCGTCAACACATCCAAAATGCATTAAAATTGACAAAAGCAGTATGTAACCCATACAGTATGGACAGAAACAAGATTTGTGCTTAAAATCAATAGGTTAAACGTCTGAAAATCGCGATTTTTAGTTCAAGAAAATTGGCTCTCCGTGCCGCTCCGAAATCGGCTGCCGAACACCCGCCATGTTGCCTCAGTGGCAGCGCGGACCATACCATTATTCTAAAGGGTGATAGCGTTGTACAATAAACCAACAGAGAGGGACGCGGCCGGGGTCGCCAGTGTTAAAAATATCTGCAAAGACCAAAACATAAACACAACTCACAAAATAATGATCTACCACTCCTCCGATCCTTAGTCCTCACACAGATCTGGTATCCCTCTGTCTAGTCTGCAGCAAGGCGCCCTCTGTTGTTTATGACAAGATAATGTCATTACCTACACACCCCTACTTGAAATGGTGTAGTCCAAGCTTTGTGGAAGTCAAGATGGCGGACAACGGCCGTGCAAGTTAAGGTCATTTTTTTCGCGTGAAAATACGATATTTTTAACAACGAAATGGAAACTCAATCCAATGGAAATTCTCTTTTATTGTATGTTTCACAATTATATGCCCTTTTTGTCAATTCAGAATGTGTTTTGGATGTGTTGACGGTGTGTTGACGCTTCTGTCATGTGTTGACGCTGTGTTGACGCTGTGTTGACGCTGTTTAGTGCGACCCCGTCACGCGGAAGCGTATGACCCGATGACTGTTTCATGCACTATTGGTTGCGGTTCCAGTACCAAAGCTGTGATGCGAGTGGTAAACCTTATATTAGTGCATGAAACAGTCATCGGGTGTTACGCTTCCGCGTGACGTCATGCGCCAACAGCCAGCGCAGCCGGCAAAAACGAGTAGTTGACAGCGATCGCTCTCTGTGCCTGTTAATCGACCGCCATTCATTGTACACAATTTTTTTTGTGCACAAACCAATTGCGGTCCTAGCCAATCCAGCAAGGTTGTCAAGTTAGCGGTTATTCCTCCTGTTTTCACTGCAATTGTAGGCTGAATCTTCATCGTGGATCGTTTTTTACTTCAAGGACCTGTGTAATGGTTATTCCAGGCAAGTTTGGGGTGAGTTGCAGTTGCAATTAGTGTGTAACGGGGACAAAATTGAACATTTTTCAAAAAAATTTGAATACACTACAAGTTACGAGAAAAATACGCTCCAGCCCTAGATGACAACCCAATGATAAAACTCAGGGCTGGGTAACTCCAGCTAATTGACCATGTACAAAAAACATGTCAAACTTTGTCAAATTTTGATTTTCACATTTAGGCTTAGTTTGTAGTTTATTTTTGCTTTAGAAGCATACTCACCCTCTTTATTAGACCCATGAACGTGGCTTGTAAACTACACCACGCTCTTGTCATGCTTGTACATGTTCGAACCAAGCAAAATCGTCCTTCCGTGACAAAGACTGAACATTGCCTTACCGTCAGTGACCGTGTAATAAGTATTCACATATCAAGCTTTCTTGAACATGTTGAAATCTGCTTTTACGCCAAATCTGGCATTTAAACGATATTCGAGGTAAAATCTTATACCGCGACCTGGACAACATCATCCTGTCACTGTCCCAAACCAACATTTTCCAACAAAAAACATCAGATTTCACCTTCAAAACGGCCTCCAAATTACTAGATATGTCACCTGAGGTACAAGTAGACATTGATAATTAAGATGGTTGTACTGAAGTTTACTTACGATCCGGAAAAAAGTGAAATTGTCCGTTCATTTCGGAGAGCTCCCCTCGCGATCTTGAACACGTTAAATTTCCGATCGTGTTTAATGTTTGAACGACGCGATTTCTTCTACATGCCCAGCGTACATTCGATGGTCCCCGTATCCCGAGTGCGATTCCGTTACCGAGCGCACAACAGCGTAGCGTTGTATACAACGCCACGTTCACGGGTCTACCTCTTTATAGGCTAATCAGAAAGTGCTACCTTTTTCAAATGTCTATTTTTCATGAAATTTCCAGATTCATTTGCACACGTTTGCGTATCAAAATTTCATCATGAAATTTCACGAAAATTATAGACATCTGAATCTAGTGTCGCACTTGTACACACAAGTGCATTTCGAACTAGTATGATAACTAGGGCAGCTATTAGCTTGAGTAACTCCAGCTGTCATGATCATATTCATTCACATGTAGCGCTGGAGACATAACCTAGGTGTGAGAGTGTGGTAGCAAGAGACCCTAAAATAATGGCCTCTCAAAAATTGTCCATTTTCACCTCTTTTATCCCACCCCAGATTCCTACAACATACCTCATACCACTCAGCAGTCATTCACAAAGCTAATAATCGACTTGACACAGACCAAAAAACTAAAATATGAAAATTACTGATGATTTCGTTAGCTTGTCCATTAAATTTGTGCAGTACCACTGCTGTCGTCCATGATGATCGGTTAATTTTGCGCACGACACACTCACACGTGACATTAACAATAGAAAAAAATCTGCTAAATCGGCTAGATCATCCTGCGCTCCACTTGTGTGCACATGCACTGTGCGTGATGCATGCAAGTACGTGTACCATACCGCTTTCAAGCGCCGCCAGTGGGCTCCATTTTCGTCTGGTGCCATATAGTGGAAAGAAACACGACTGTTTTATGCATTACGCGTTTCACGCAAAAAGAAGCCACTCATTGTCACGCTAGTGGGGATTTCAATAGCCTCGCCACTGGGGCGTCGCGAGGGGGGGGGGGCAAAAAAGCAACCCCCCCCCCAAAAAAAGAAGGAAAAACAAGAAAAGAGAAAAAAAAGCGCCTCTTTTTCTTTTCTTTTTTTCTCTTTTCTTTTTTTTTCCTTTTCTTTTTTTATGACGAAAATGGAACCCACTGGCGGCGCTTGAAAGCGGTATAGTACATGTACCTGCATGCATCACACACACTGCATGTGCACACTTGTGGAGCGCAGGATGATCTAGCCGAATTAGCAGATTTTTTTCGATTGTTTACGTCACGTGTGAGTGCGCAAAATTAACCGATCATCATGGACGACAGCAGTGGTACTGCACGAATTTAATTGACAAGCTAACGAAATCATCAGTAATTTTCATATTTTAGTTTTTTGGTCTGTGGCAAGTCGATTATTAGCTTCGTGAATGACTGCTGAATGGTATGAGGTATGTTGTAGAAATCTGGGGTGGGATAAAAGAGGTGAAAATGGACAATTTTTGAGAGGCCATTATTTTAGGGTCTCTTGCTACCACACTCTCACATCTACATGTAGGTTATGTCTCCAGCGCTACATGTGAATGAATATGAGCATGTCAGCTGGAGTTACTCAAGCTAGGTATCAGCAGAAACCAGTTCAAGCTAGCTCCCGACTCTGTATCATGTAGTTCGAAATGCACTTGTACAAACGAGATCCAGTTTTCTCATTATCATAATCGATACATCGCGCTCGGTTACGTAATCACGCTGGGACCATCGAATGAACGCTGGGCACGTACGTCCGCACTGCGTTGTTCAAACACGAGTCGGAAATTTAACGTGTTCTCGATCGATCGCAAGGGGAGCTCTCGGAATTGAACGGGAAATTTCACTTTTCATCCGACTCGTAAGCAACCTTTAGTACTTTGATCTCTCCTTGTACCTCAGGTTGTGTATCTAGTAATTTGGAGGCCGTTTTGAGGTAAATCTGATGTTTTTGCTGGCCAATGTTGTTCTTTTTTGGTCAACGGCAGTCGGCAGAATAGTGTCGCGTGACGTTTTCTCATGGTTTGTGGAGAATCGCCACCAAAATTACCGAAAATTTTCATATTTTAGTCTTTGTTCTGTTTGAAGTCAATTATTAGCTTCATGAATGTCTGCTGCATCGTACAGGGATGTGATTTCTCAGGTTTTTTCTGGAAATCCGGTTTTTGGGGCCTCAAAAGTCCACCAACGTGAATCATGTGAATCAGTTGAGAAAATAGGGGGGTAGAATGTGCTACGACAGGTTTCGGGGGTAAAACCCGAGATTTTGGCATCTTAGACCAAGACCAAGGCCAGAGCTTTTGAGACCGAGACCAGCCGTCCCGAGACCGAGACTTTGATAGAACGAGACCAAGCCCGAGACCGAGACTGCAAAAACAGTCTTGAGACCGAGACCAGGTCTCAAGACCTACATGTACAACACTGGTAGGTTGAGCAGTCAGAATCTAGGGGTGTCAGAAAATAGAGCAGTCACCGATTTTATTCATTCAATTTTAGTAAAGTACATACGTGTACGTGTACATGTACCAGTACTGAAGGGACTTGTTACATATATCACCGGAAATGAAGATTAATGGTTAATATAAGGTC